CCTGAGAGGAGGATTTAAACTGAGCCGTCCTCAGAGGACAAACACTGGTCTGATGTAACTCTAATGCCACTGAAGGCAATTTAACATGAAACACACACACACAATTATAAACCAGCTAACGCACCGTTTTCTTGTTCCAGTCACTGAAGCAGACCATAAACTCAGCTTTCTTGTTGTTAATTGAAGTGTTTCCAAATGTTGAAAAGAGCAGAGCTGCTTTTTGACATTTGTTTGAACACACTGTGCTAAAACTTTGGACAAAAATATGAATAAAAATAATCAGGGAAAAGTCTGAGACAAGGACTTAAACAGTGAAAACTGCACCTATCGGGTTAATGGTCTGCTTGGAGATATTACTGAAATGTGGACTCATGTCTCCACAGTTTGGTCAAAAGTTGAATTAATTTTAATCGCGCTGCTGTTTTAAATTCACAGAAACATCACACAGCTGTAGATGAGATGCTCTGCTGCTCTGCTCTTGTTCATCTTTAGGTTTGTTTTCTCTTTAATCCAAAGTAATCATGTTCTGGAGCCTAAAGGAACCGTGGATGGGGCCAAACAGAACAAATTCATCTCCAAGTTCAAGGTTCTTTATGGTCAATACCATCACATGTGGTACAGGAGGTGGAACGAAACTGTGTAGTCAAGGTCCCAGTTACGTCCAAAAATAGCAAAAATATAAAGTATACAAAGAAACAGTATATAAGGATCTAAGATATACACTGATATACTCTAAACGAACGCCAAACAATACGCTAAAAGATCTAAGCTATATGATAAACACTAATTATGTAAATAACACGGTCTATTAAACAGCAGCCCGAACATGAGTCTGTGGTGAGTAGATGGGTATCAATGAATACAGCAGCATGAGATAATCAGCAGCATGAGATAATCAGCAGCATGAGATCAGCAGCATGGATAAGTCACATATCACCAATTAAAGTGGCATTACAGTGATTTTTCTCTTTTTTTTTTCCTTACAGTGAATTTTCTGGTTAGAGATTCATGAGTCTAACAGCTTCAGGGTAGAAGCTGTTCCTCAGTTTAGTAGTTCTACACTTAATGCTCTACAACCTTCTGCCTGAGGGGAGCGGTGCAAGTTATAAAGTTATAAACAAAGTGAAGCTCTTGTTTCGTTCTCTTTTGGTTCTGTGTTTTCTCGTGTTAAAGTACAAAGAAATTCAAATTTCATCAACAAAAAGAGCAACTTGACTCAGTTTTATCTATCAAGATAAATTTAATTTTACTGTTTTCTGCACATAAACTGTTCCCAGTGTTGTTTGTGGACCCAAGTGCGTCAAGACAGTGGTGTTCCCTCCGCTGTGTGCGTTACCGTACAAAGGGATCTGTTTGGTGTTATGAACCCAAAGTGGAGAAGATTTTCACCAGACATCATATTCTGAGTCCTTTGTTTGAGGAAAGTCAATAATTTAAAACACATTTCGTCCGAAAAAACGCTGCGTCTCTTTCAGATTTTGGAGGAATGTTGCACAACCACGAGAACAACTTTCATTTATTTAAATGCCAGCAAGTTTATTTTTGCAGATTGCTCCAAAATGTTGCAACGAATTGCAGTTTTACAACCTGACAAACTACCTGCAGATGTGGAGCTTCAATAAAAAATGTCAGAACGTTGAAAAGATCACCTTTATTATACTTTGAACCAAACTTAGAGTCGTTTTTCTTCTGTTATTATTACGTATGCAGTTTCTAATAAGAACATAACAAAGAACAGCCTTTTAATCAATACAAAACATTTATTCTTTCATGTTTATTTTTGCCTATATAAGCATTAACCAGTGAGTTAATGGATGTTTTACGAATCTGGAATAAATCTTAAAATCCATCAGATCTGTTGTTGCTGCCTGGACATTTGGGTGGATTTGCAAAAGCTGAGAGAAATTTAGCAAAAAAATAAATAAATAAATAAACTATAAATTTTTGCCCTGCCCTCATGAAGCTGTAACCCCTAAACAAATCTCAGGGCATGTCATCGTCCATATAGACATTTAACTGGCCTTTAGCAAAGTTTTAATTTAAGGTTGCAGCTTTACCGGACCAACACCCCATCTATCGTCATGTCTGGGTCATGGTTTCATGGTTGGGTGGTATTTCATGATTGGGGATTTCTGAACGTTTTGTTAAAGATGTGTTGAAACCAGGACTTTTTGTCACTCATCGGTGTTAACACATCGCAGTGTCTGTTTTTAGGGAGTAGAAGGAGAACACGAGGGAGAAAAGGGAGGACCGCAGGAAAAGGGAGGAGAACCGTAAGAGAACTGGGACTTTTATCACAGACTGGATGCCAGCTGAACTCAGGAACAGTGGATTGTTTTCACTAGTTCAGAGTTATACGCTACAGTTTATTGTAACGGTGTAAAGTAGGCTGAAAATCTTTATAAAAACCACGCAAGTTTAGTTTAGCGGTAACCATACAGTTTTCTCCCAGTGTTGGTTTTAGCCAGGTGAATATGGAAGGGGTTTAAGGGCTTGTTTGGTGTGTCCACCACTATCGGAGGATTATCACCTCAGGACATTTCTGTGATTCTAGGATAGGCTTCTGTTCTACTGGAGTCTCATCCAGCTTGTTTTGTTACCATTTCACAGTTTTTTCCTGCATATTTTACAGCTAAACTCTGAAAAAGCTTTCTATTTTGAGCGTGGGAGGTTTGTGCAATGCCTGGTCAGTTTTCTCTGATCTTTATATCAGGTGTTTCCAGTGCACCGAGCACGAAGTCACGTGCAGATGAAGTCGGGCTGGTTAGATACAAAGCCAGATTTAATTTTTCTCTAACATAGGAAGGTGAACGTGTAGACGCCGTGCCGTTCAACGCTATTGTGTTTTAGCTACACTATGACAGCGAGCGTTAAGATGTTTGAAATTTCAACTCTACAAAATGAGCCGTCAGCCGTAAATCCCAAATCAGTTCATCTCGTCGTCTTCAACCGGCTTTGAATTTTATTAGTCTTTTTGAATTTATAATGTCTACTGGTGTGGTCTGGACTGTGATGTTGAAGCTGGAAAAGAACACGGCGATTCTCTCCAAAAATAATACTGCCATGTTTGGTGGCGAGTTAGTTTGTATTCATACTGCAGTGATTTGCTTCCTTAAGTTTTCTGCTTGAACTTTGTAAGTTGGAGATAAATGCACATTTTTCACAACTTAAGACAAAAATTTGTTGGGTTGACTGACTTACTGTGGTTGGTTTATTTTGTTAATGAGAGAAACTAGCTAAGAATAACTTGCTGTACTTCTAGCTAAAGAAGTTTGCGTTTATTTAAAAACAAAATAACAGAAGAATGAGTTGTTAATTGTTTAACCATTTAACAATTGATTGAAAAAGGGTCAAATAATGTGATTTTTAGCTGATTATTTAGCCAACAACAAATGACTAGTTTAAGTTTTAGACAAAGAAGAATTTAGCTATTTATTAAAACAAACACCAGGAAATACTATTTTTGCCTTGCAGCAATTATAAAGGTCAAATTAAAAAAAATAAGTTAACTGTAGTTTTAGTCAAAGACATTGGCTTTTTAATAAAAATAAAATTTTTAAAAAGACATAAAACATGCATTAGGCTGCCTTCAGGTTCAGGCAACCCTTACAAAAGAGATTTGTGATCTCAGTGGGATTTGCCTGGTGAAATAAACGATCATAAAAATGACTAAATAATAAAATGAAGGTTAAATAAAAGAGCTGGACTGATGTGAATTGTTAGCGCTCTTATGCTATTTAGCAAAGGACATAGTATATTTGTCTTAGCCAACATTTAATTAGCTGTAGTTGTAGTCAAAAACATTTGCTTTTTAATAAACAAACTAACATTTTAAACACAAATGTTAAATGAAGAACAAAAAGAGATGGACTGATAATAACTGTTAGCATTGCTATGCTAACTAGCAGAGGAACATTTTGTCTTAGCCTAGCTAACTGTAGTATTGGTTAGACTTTGTTGACCATAAAAGGGTTTACTGCTACTAAATTTAAAAATGTGTGAATTGTTAGCTTTATTAAATTAACTAGCAGAGGAATTAGCCAGTTATTTTTAAACCAACAGGCTAGTTGTATTTTTACCCAAAGAAGAGTTATGCCTACATTTGTCTACTGTTGTCATCACTGTTTGTTAAAAACCGGTCTCTCTTGTAAATGAGTCCTCGAGGCTCAAAGAGACTAACCTGTATGAATAAGGGTTGAATGAATGCCTTTAATCAAAAAGCAACAATTTTTCAACCAGAAGTGAAAGTTGCTCTGAAACACAGGAGAGTAGGCTATGTGTTGTGAAATATTGTGGAGGCACACAGCTTGCTATGCAGGCCTAGTTCAATAAATTCCTCAGGCAGTTTCTTGTTGCAACATTTTGTACGACACTAGTATCTAGGTGCAAATGTATACTGCAGGTGTAAGACGCTTTGTGTCCCTAACAACAAACAGGTGGTTTGTTGGTCCGACCACAGGCCAGCATCTGACAAGTGAAGCCCACTTGTGCTTCCTGAAGCCCGATCTTGCCACAATGTACTTTTCTCTGCAAATATCCCGACTGCCCCCACGGTTTGATGAGCAGACTTCATCCCGACACGTTGCATCTTTTCAGATTCGGATTAAGTTCTGATACATGACATTTTAAGCCATTCCAAGGAAGTGAGTCAGAGCATAAACAACTCCTACGTTATTTCAGGAAAATATTTATCTTTCCTCATCGAAACTCTTCAGATAGTGTCAACACTGCTTAGAGACACAATTACATCTGAGGGTGGAAAACTGAGTCCTTTTGGAGATAAAAGGGTATAATATGAGTAAATCACCAAATACTTGTAGACATAGGAGCATCCCATCCAAAAAGACTTCTCTCCAAGTGTATATTTACTAAATGTATTATGATCTGTTGATGTTTTGGCTTATATTCACCTTGTAGTTGCTATTAAGTGAAAGAAAACAACTTTACAGATGGATCAATTTGCTTTAATTAGTGTGTTTTTCCCTTTGTTTTTAAAACAGTAACCACAACGCTATCTCCAGGCTCAGGCCACGCCAGAAAATGCAATGACACACAGAAGGCCTACTGTGTGAATGGCGGCGACTGTTACTTCTACCACGGCGTAAATCATCTTTCCTGCAAGTGAGTTATTACCCCACGCTTCTGAATTTTTATTGTAAACCTCACTTTTGTGGTTACCTTTGCTCTTTGAGAGGGCTTCCCTCATAGTCCACCATTTACAGAAAAGTAATGTTAACATATGAGCAAACTAAACAAAAATATTACATTTTTATGACATTTATTGATTCGTAATTCCCCTGCTTTTTTCTTTCAGCCGCAACAGTAATACTTCCCAAGGAAAGCCTGCTAGTTTTTTTCCCCCTAACAAGCCACCTGTTGTGTATTTTAACACTAATAACGGACTGTGCTCATTCTTTTAAGTCATGTTTAGTGTACGGGAGGGCTGCACATTAAAAGCCTTTTTAAAAAGTCATGAGTCACTAGTTTAGTCACGAGCAAATATTTATGCCTGTTAGAGGCCCCCAATGAGGTAAATACAATCATTGCTTACATTTGGCAGAGAGGATCAAGAACCGTGTGTAAAGTGTGCCTGAGTAACCGTGTATCTTTGCTTTTTAGGTGGAGAACGGGCTGACATTTTCTCAGAAATTCTCTTTTCCCCCCATCAATGTTCACATTTGAGTTTGGATTAGTCTTAAGGTCAAGCAACATTAGTTGGTGTGATGTTCAGTAGAACATAAACATGTACAGTAGTTTTCTTTGATACTTGTATCAGCTTTTAGAATATTTTTGGGTACTATTGCAGTTCCTAGAATGAATTAAATATGTATTTAGAAGTTCCCACTAATTTTAGGCTCCTAATTGTAATTTGGCTGGATGTCTATGTGCACTTGGGTTCACACAGTAGGACAATGAAATGTGTCAGTAATTTGCAAACTGTGCTGTTAACTTTATTTTATTTTGCACACCAAAAACTAATCAGATAATGGAAAACATCAATTTGATTTTCAATAAATCATTCAAATCCTAAAAGCGTAAATCAGCTGACTGGTTTTAATTGGCTCTTAGATGGTGTGGGTCATGTTTTATCAGTATGAAAAAATGTCAGAAAAGTCTCAATTTTGTCTCAACTCACATCCTGAGCAGAACATGGATGACAATAGGAAGGGGAAAAAAAATCCCTTTTAACAAGAAGAAACTTCCAGCAGAACCAGAACCACCAGAACCAGATCCAGGCTCAGGAAGGGCTACCTCTGCCTTGACTGGCTGGGGTTAGAGAGGACAGGGAAGAAACCCAGAATGGCTGGACCAGGTGTAGTTTTTATGGTCCATGTATGGTTCTATGGTCCAGGTGTAGTTTCTATGGCCCAGATGATGTTTCTGTGGGCTAGCTATAGTTTTTATGGTCCATGAATAGTTTCTATAGTTCAGGTGTAGCTTCTATGATCCATGTATATTTTCTATGGTCCAGGTGCAGTTTTTATGATCCATATGATCTTTCTGTGGTCCAGGTGTAGTTTCTATGGTCCATGTATAGTTTCTATAGTTCAGGTGT